TTAGCAAGTTAAGAAAGAGGCAATTCATATTCATCCGCAGCTTTGAAACCTAAGCTTTCTTTGCTCACAGATCACTGGAGGATCACTGGACTGTGGTTGCTGAGCTGTTATTGCTGTCACTGATCATCAGTTTCATCATCGTCTATACGTAGTAGAGCCATGCTGCAACTATATTAATAGTATAATCGTAGTAGCACGAATGGGTCGGCTCGACCGAGAAAGGACCACGATCTTAGAGAAAACCACCGTAAACCGTAAAATAGCATCTTAACGCTGATGTGTTTCGTATGGTGAGTGTAGAGAACCGGAGACCTATTTTAGTGGAAACAAAACAAGGCATTCCATCTTAATATTCACGGGTGACAACTCATATGCAGTTTGATTCGTAATCGAGGCTAGATGTAGATGTCTAAGGACCACAGCAACCACATACCATCAGGTGGACTGTGTGCTCGTTTGTAATCCTATAAAAAAAATTAGGTATTAAAATTTAAAGGAGTACTTTTAAAAACGTGTCGATATAACATTGCACTTAATTGCAAGTTTAATTCTTTTCAGCCGACCTCAAAAAAGGAGGTTTTCGACATTCTACATTTGACAGTTTTTTTTTGCACGTATGTTACGCGATATCTTTGTCAAATGAGACACGATTTTGAAGATTATTTTTTTTATTAAATAGGTTGTACTTCGGGGTGGTCCCATATAAATTTTGAGAAAAATTCTACCCCTAAATGTGGCAAATAGTAAATTAAGTTTTTAATGTAACTATTGAGGCGACTGAGACCGAGAATGTGATCAACACCTGATTTAGAGTTCTGACAGCCCTAGGCTAACTATGAAAATGCGCTCCCCGGCTTGTACTGCTTCTGACTGCCCAAACCACGATAAACTTACTAGATTTTTATATTTAACTAGCTTTATGCCCATATTAAATTAAATTTTTCTGTGAGAATAAGGTATTTTCCTGATGCTATCCTATTCTCAGGATGCAGTCGGTATATCCTTAATTTATAGATATTTGTTTAGCAGCTGCAAAAAGATAACAGACAGTCAGACAGATTTATTTCACATTTGTAATATTACTATATATATAGGTTTTTTTTAATATCAATTGTATGTAAATTCATTATTATAAAAAATTTCAGTTATGGTCTTTAATAACTGACTAAACTATGAGTAGAGAAGCAATTTAAATACTTCGAATTACAGCCTGTCAACGAAAGGCGAAAAGCACCATATAATTTAATTTCTTATTATTACAATTTTTTTTATAGGATTAGGATGACAAACCAGCACGCAGTTCACCTAATGGTAAGTGGCTGCTGTGACCTATAGACATCTACATCTATCTTCGATTTCTAATCAAAATACAGATGAGTTGTCACCCGTGAGGATTAAGATAGAATGCCTCGTTTCCAGTAAAAAGGGTCTCCGGTTCTCTACACTCACCATACAAAACACAGCAGCGTTAAGCTGTTATTTTACGCTAGTTATTCTGTGAGAGCGTGGTCCTCCCAGGTCGAGCCGACACATTCGTGCTACAACCATTATATAGCTGCAGCTTGGCTCTACCACGTACAAAATAATATATTTATTTTGTACCAAAAATAAGGAAGAAGTAATTTAAAATGCTTGCGGCACTTGCTCTATTATTTATTGAGAATATCATACCTAGTTTAATTTTGTAAATAAGTGATGTTTGCAAAGGTAAACTCGGCGCCCCCTGTGCTGACCTTGCACCTTAGCTTTAGTCTAATTAGCCTGTGGGTAAAACAGGCTCAGTTGGATCGTTAATTTTTCTACACACTATGGTTTAGCACCGACTTCAGAATGTGAAATAATTTTATTCATTTTAGTTCTTTGTTATCAGCTTTTATTTTTTGTTAACAGAATTTTTGGAATATCCATGAAGAATTCTTCACTTCTAAAATGAGGTTCATTTAAGATGGAGAATCCCCGAACCGTTCAACTGCGATTGCCAATGCTTAAGACGATAACAGAATACAGGAAACTGAACAAGATATATCTCCAAATGCATGCGGCGGGAACAGGGCTCCAAAGTCTTTGCCAGAGATCTGTCTACCAGAAAGAGCCAACTGTCAAAGCTGAAGACCAAGTGTGGTAGCATCGTTTCCGGGACACCTGAGATTTTGAGTGCGATTGAGCGATTCTACGGGCAGCTGTACACGTCATCGTTGGAGCCACACGCAAGTGTTAGTAACGTTCCAAGGGCAAGTCTTAACCGACTCTATTCCGATGATGACGTCAATTTCAACGAGATTAGAATTACTCTCTAGCACCTTATAAAGGCCAAGGTCCCGGGCAAGGATGGAATTACAGTGGAGCTTCTGAAAGCGGGTAGAAAACCAGTACTTGAAGTACTTTAGAAACTCTTTAACTGTGGGTCTACTCCGGAGGCGTGGAACAGAAGTGCGGTGGTTTTGTTCCTCAAGAAAGGCACCACTTGAAGAACTACAGACCGATTTTCCTTCTGAGCCCCGTCTACGTGCTGTTGTTAAGAGTCGTTACGAATCGTCTCACAAGCAGACTTAACGACTTCTAGCCTCGTACTCTAACTCGTCGACTTTCAGGCTCATACAAACATACCCTTCGGCAAATTGTACAGGAGACCGAAGAGTACAATCATAAACTTTGATTTGCACATGTGGACCATGAGAAAGCCTTTGATTCCGTCGAAATTTGGGTGGTGTTAAAGTCCCTTCAGCGGTGCCAAGTTAACTGTCTGTATGTTGAAGTGCTGAAGTGTATGTACAGTAAGGCTACGATAGATATCCGAGGGGTTATTCTGTTTATCCACCCTAAAAAATCCAAGTAAGGGTGGATAATCGGAACTCACTTTTAATTGTTTTTCCGACTTTTTACCCCAAGTACAGTTCAACACATACACTATAATTATTAATTAATAACCACAAATTTAACCAAAAAACATAATACGTATTGTCGTTACCGTTACCGCTACAGGCTATTAAAGTCCATGGATTAGGTATTATATTTAAATCAAATTAAACTTCCTCGTTTTAAATAAAATTGTTGCGTAATTTATACATTCTGCAATATATCCACAAATTACCATCACTGATTTCATTATTGAGTAGAAGTAATTTGATATCCTGGGTAAATTAGTCACTTTTAATGTAAATTAGCAATCGTTTTCTAAATTTCTTTGCTACAACAGATGTGTTAGCGAAGAACTGGGCGTTTTTTACAAGCATTGCGAAAACGTTACTATTGGATGTTTGTCTTTAACTTCATATTAAATTATCTTATGCCAAGATTCCAATGAATCTCTAATCCTATGAGATATTCCTTTTATTTCAGCGTTGACCTTTCAAAAGAGAAGCATGTATATATTTTTATAGGTAATGTAAACTAAGTATATTGGGCCAGTTTTTATCATATTTCTATAAATGATTGTACACAGCCGAGGGAGAAAATCGGAGGAAAAATAATATATATGAATTCCGATTATCCACAAAATATATAAATAGTTCGACTAGATAAGTCCAAATTCGACCAAGAGGTCAAGCGACGGATTCAACGTGGCTAGGCAGCGTTCGGGAGATTACGAGACATCTTCTCGTCTGGTATATCTCAACACATGAAAACAAGATTTTACAACCAGTGCGTGTTGCCAGTGATGACTTATGGATGTGAGACGTGGTCCTTCACTGCTGGCCGTATGAGGAAACTCAAGGTCGCTCAGTGAGCTTATCCGAAGCTTAAACGAGGATATCCGCAGTAGAAACAGAGTAACCGACATAGCCCAACAGATTAGTAAACTGAAGTGGCAATGGGCCGGCCATATAGCTCGAAGAACCGAAAATGATAGGACGGCCCCCCATTAGATAGAGCGACGACCTGGTAAGACTTGCAGGAAGTTGATGTATGTAGGTGGCTCAGGACCGTGCTTTGTGGCTTCCTCGGTAGAGGTATGTATAGCAGCTGTAATGATAACTTGATTGGAGGTTTGAAATGATGGGCGATTGAAGCTCTAATTAATAATAGTTTGCTAAATTGTGCTAGGAAATCTCGTGCTTCACTTTATAAATGTTATGATTACACATTTTACATCGCTGAAAATATGTAAAACATAGGTTTTATAGAATTTTAAAGTGATTGTCAGAAAATATATAAAAATTTCTCAAAAGTTGAAATTATAAATTAATTTAATCGCAAGATGTTCTAGAGTAAATCTTTTAGTGAACTCTTAAGATATTTTCGTCACATTTTATAAGAAAATTTTTATTTCCTGTTTAGTTCATTATATAACTAAAATTGAGGTAAGTACTCCACTAGCTGCATGTACCCGGTGCTTGGTCACGTTTACGTACTGTCTTTTAAGTCACACTTATAACCTATTTTCAACTGACAAAAAAGGAGGAGGTTCGCAATTCGTCGGAATCTTTTTTTTATATATGTTCACCGATTACTCAAAGACGCCTGAACCGATTAAGAAAATTATTTTTTTGTTTGAAAGGGTATACTTCCCACTTTACTTTAAATTTTATTGAAATCGGTGGAGCGATTTAAAAAAAAATAATTTTACCACATGTAGAGAAAATTTACAAGCGCTATTCTTTCACTTATTGCACAAAAATGAAAGAAATTATTTAGGAGTATGAGAATCTAAAATTCTAAAAGACTCGATGATCCACATCCCATCCTTACTCGTATCTTTTAATAAAAAATAAAAAACAGTGCACGATAATTCGTGTAATATTGTTAACCAATATTATCAAACACTGATAGCAAAAAAACATATATAACACAGTTTCTTAATTCAAACAGTATGTTTTTGATTAGATTTAGAATAATGAATAGAACGTGCGTGTTAAACGCAATACACTGTAAAAATAACGCTAATCACTGATGAACAAGTGTCCGGCCTACACCGCCTACACGTCTGACCTTTTATCAGTTAACAATATCACATACGTAACAAAATGCCATGAACTATGACCGATGCCAGGATGGCTCACCCTCTCTGGAAGAGATCGACATTGTAGAACTTGTAGAGTTCGACGCTGAACTCGAAGGTGGCCTGCAGGTCGCTCATGGTGCGTGAGGGAAGGCGAGGCCGCGGGCGCGGGGAGCGGAGTGCGCCATGACAGGGCCGCTAGGGGCCCGCCGGGCGCATCCCGCGACTGCACGTCACAACCGCACACGCACGACCACACCCGACACTCGGGACCTCGCCCCAACAGCGGTACGCGGAGCCGCTACGAGCGTGCGGCACACAGTGCGCCCACCGAGGAGTCGCTTTTTTAGCAGCGGCAAAGCGCATGCGCGAACAACGCGCCGCCGCGCCGCCCAGCCGCCCTGCAGTGCGCCCGATCTACCCATCTAGACAGGTGCGCTCGCAATAAACCGCTAATCCAAATCCAAAAAGCGATTGCATAAGACAGCTTTGGGAATAATATGTCGCGTGGTAATGCAGAGGGATTACGCCTGGCTCTAAAGGTCAGGGGGTGTACCTCGCCCCCGTCGGCGATGTTAACCTTTCTGTCATACCTGTTGTACAAGTTTCTGTATCGATGACGCCATTTAATTTATAGGTGCGTTTGGTGCGTCATAGAACTCTGCTGCAATTAATATTCAAAGACTTTATGGCCCTAGTATAAAGTTACATTTTATTTAAACAGACAGAACAGACTAAATATTGTAATTATATACTTACAAAAAAATCTTTTTAAATATTTGTATTAAATAGTTTTTTCAAATATATTTTGTGGATAGTGTATGTTTCGGACTTGACCTAAAAATTGCGATTTATTCAAAACCGAATTTAGAACAAAGCTCTCTGAGAAATTTAATTTTTATAAAAATAAATCTATTAAATCTTTTTCTATAAATAGATTATAAAAAGATTGGAAGAAATTTAAATATAAGAGAATAATTAGATCTCGGGTACTGAGGCAGAATGAAAATCTATCGGCACTGCGTGATTTGATAAAGGTCGGAGGTCAAGCGTTGCTTGCTCGATAGCGGGTTCAAGGAACGATTTTATGAAAGGGCTGTGGGGTTGTGGATGAATGTCTTATTAAGTCAACACGCATACCTGCAATCAATTACTGTGGATTAGTATATGAACTAGTATATGAACATTTATTGCTCCCTGATCTGTATTCGTTTCATCATCATCATCATTATAGCCCGTCAAAAGTTCACTGCCGAACATAGGCATCCACCAAGTAAGCCATGTAAATTATTAGATTTGTTACATGTTTTAAGCGCAAGTTCGGCCTCACATGGAATACTATTCTCATCTCTGGGCCGGGGCACCCCAGTGCCAGCTCCTTCCTTTTGACCGCATCCAGTGCAGAGCAGTTCGATACGTCGACGACCAACTTCTGATCGGCTCGATTCACTGGCGCTGCGTAGGGATGTTGCATCCCTTTGCATTTTCTATCGAATCCACCACGGGGAGTGCTCTGAGGAATTGTTCGGATTAATTACAGCCGCCAAATTTCACGAACGCACATCGCGTCAAAATTCACGATACCATCTTCACTATCTGCATGCTTGGCGGTCCACCAATGTGAGTTTTACTAGGAGTTTTCTTCCTCGTACAACTTATTTGTGGAATTGTTTACCACTGGAGATTTTTTCGGACCGATACGACTTAGGGACCTTCAAGAAAATAGCTTACACCGTTCTAAAAGGCCGGCAATGCATCTGCGATTCCCCTGTTGTTGCGGTTGTTCATGGGCGGCGGTAGTCACTTACCATAAAGTGAGCCGCATGCTTATTTGTCTACTCTTCTATAAAAAAAAATTACCAGTAAATCACACCATTAGGGTCTAATTTTACGTGGAATTTATTCAAAATTACGTTTCCATTGTGCGGCCTCCCACTAGATGGAGTGACGAGCTAGTAAAATAAGCAGGAAGTCGAATGATGCAAGTGGTATTCCTTGAGGGAGATCTATGTTCAGCAGTGGACTTTTGAAGGACTGTAATAGTGATGATGATGATGATGACCAGCTGTGAATTTTGCGGGTTGATAGAAAAAGATAGAGAATCTAACAACGATTTATTTGAAATGTTTTAAATACTCTTCTGGCGCTGTCGACGCTTGTTTAAATCAATTGATGATATTGTTTATTTACGTGTGTTGAACTGTTCTGACGGGAACTAATAAATTTATTGGCCTGTAAACTGCAAATCTGGCAATTATGACAAATATTTCAAATATTGGAAAGGTACATTTGGCAATGGAATGTTTCCAAGAGTTGCGCTTTTTACACCATAACTTCATACCGTGATTTGGGAGCACGACCAAAAGTGAATCTTTAGTTGTAGAAGACAAAATTATGGTATTGCTGTTGCGATTTCAAGGCAATACTATTTACGAGATGTGTTGCAATGTGTAAAAAAGTAAATTAACATAGCCTTCATAAATCTAGCCGGCTGGGCACAGACCTCCTCTTTTGGAGCACTTTACAACATGTTACTTTTATTTTCATAGCATGTGGTAAAAAATTAACACTTCGATTTTTTTTATAGAAATAGGGTGACACAGTCCACTTGATTCGTTTGCGAATCAAAATGCAGATGCGTTGTTACCCGTGAGGACTAAGATGGAATGCCTCATCTCCGTTTGTCTACACTTACCACACGAAACACAGCAGCGTTAAGCTTACGCTGGCATTCTGTGAGAGCTTGGTCCTTCCCCGGTCGAGCCAACCCATTCGTGTTACAACTATACTATAAATATAGCAGCGCAGCTTGGATCTACCGCGTAAAAAAATTCCATTAATAATTTAAGTTGTGCTGGCAAGGTTTGCGACCTATAAAATTTCAATGGGAGCTCTTATTTCTCGAGATATTACTGCTATAATAATTGTTTATTCGATTCTAATTTTGGGGAAAGTAGAGGAATGACTCGGTTTCTCAGGAACTAATTAAAATTAATGTCCACATTTTCTTGGAGGTGTAAAAAAATCATGTTTCTTAGTTAAGGCAACCGAATAAAATTTGCGAGTATCAAATATTATTTAATACTCACAACTCACTCATCATCTCAAAACCTGTTACTGGCTGCCATTAGAACCCGAAATACGAGCGGTGTAGTAGTTTGACATAGTATACGCTAAGAGTCTACGTGATTTATTAAAATACCAGAACATTTACTAGAATCTGTTCAAAGTTTTAGAAAAGTTTGAATGGCGTACAGAAAGTTATAGTTTTATAAGAAATGTGTATGTCGAAATAATTCATCATTATTTAATATCAATCAACAATTACTTTCATTCTGCGTCTTTTATATAATAAGTTTATTGAAGTTTTACTTCTTTTGGGGCGTTTGGGAAAAACGATGAGAGTGAATTTTTTACGATACGCGCGCACAACGACTGCTAAAAACGACACCATGAAGTTGTTACGATGCACGCTGACTGACACCTAAAAGCGACAACTTCAATGGGTAATTGTCTCTCAACTTATTTTTTGTTACGCTAAATATTTTTATATAATAAGCTTAAAGGTTTTAATTCCCATAAATTACCGCACTCCGTTGTGCTTGTATTACTACAAAAAAAAAATCAAACCTCGCAACTAAATCTTTAATTGAGCAGTTTTTGTATAACGTATATTATAGGTAAGTTCTTTCCCGAAAACGGCTCTAACGATTGGGATGATATTTTTTTTTATTTAGTTAATCTTCTACTTTCCAAGTTTATCTCTCTGAGAACATTATATTTTATTCTTTACGCCAAGCTTAGCTCGGTCGCCAAGAAATTTAGAATTTAAATGTGAATGTTAACTAAACTTATGATTAGTGTACCAGACGACACAGTGTGTTATACGACTTCATATTTGTTCTTTTGCAACCAGCCAGCAATAAGCTGAGTGGTAGGTATACTTGTCATTGTCATTCTGTGAACGAGGCCCGTACCCATTGTAATATAGCTTTGCTTTCTTGCTTTGAACGTCGGAGTGCTGAGTATACCTAGCTTTATTGTATTTTTTATTATATCGGACAAGTGTTTTGTTGGTTTTCTTCTCATACTATAGCTATAACAAAAGGTCAATATGTCTATTTTTACATGTATTGTTTTTCGACGGTTGAAGTTGAGAGCTATTGTTTTATTATTTAGCATACGTTCATATGTTGGAGAATACGTCTTTTTTTTTGCTTAAATATTAATAATATTTATTAATATGAAATATAATAACCCTCTAAGATCGATGATATCTCATAAAACGATAAGAATTTTACTAATGAAATTGATTAAGCCCTGCAGACGGATACGTGAATTTTTTTGATAAGATCTTGTAATTGATTACCTGCGTCACATAATTGTTATCCTGGTTACAGTGCCATGCTGGACATACCAGTACCTAAGTATAAAAATTACCGTTTCTTTCTCAATTAAAAAGTTCTCAAATAAATTAAAACTTCTAACTTTCACAAACCGACTCTACTTACAATGGATTTATCTGATTATAACATGAGTAACAAATATTGCGATGCTGGCGTAGGTGTATCCATTAACCCATTCCGCTTCGTGGGTGTCGAAAGAGGCGGATATAGGTAATCCTAAAAAGACTACATGGAATCCGATAAATGTCGGTACACTATCTCGTATATGGTGCCTGTCGGTACAGGCCGGTTCAAAGGAGAGCAATTAACTAGCTTTTAACTATATTATTTAAATTACTTATATTTCTGTAAGCATTCCAAGTATGCTTAGAAAATTTATCTTAGGAGTATTTCACGCCAGCTGCTCAATAACTCTTTAGTTTGCGATCTTAATTTGGCTACTGTCGCTTAGAGCTAATATGTATATCTTAAGTTAGTTACCCATTCTCACATAGGCGGGTTGGTAAGGTATACATATAATTCTTGTGTCTGTGTATGTGACTGTTCAGTCACCACCTCCAGGCGTTCCCCTCCTAAACCACTGGAACGATTTTGGTGAAATTGATGTGTATGGTTATGTTGATTCGAGAATGATTTAGGTTCACAATTGGACCCGATAGGTGGCGCTGTTGTCGAGATCCAGAAATCAACCGTGCGTAGCCGGGCGGATCATTAGTTTTATATGCTCGGATG